TCAGCAGCATAGTGTTCCCACCAGAAAATGTACAGGTTGCCTATTTAAAAACTGCCCTCAGTTATAGTACTTATTCTGTCAAGAGCATGCACAGGTGGACTAGTCATACTGGGTTGACTCCAAGTCTTCCAGACGACTCTGGTCAGGCCTGATGCAGATATAAGCATGCCCTTAAGAAGCCTTAGGTGTCTGGTTAGCTCTCAGTCTGAACATCTGGACTCCCTACTTGGCCTTTTTAGGTGAGAGACCAGCCTAACCCTGTTTCTGGTCTGTAGATACATTGTCCATAGTCTTTTTAGGCAAGACTAGCAACCTGTTTTCTATATTCATAGCCATGACACACAGTTTTCATAAATGGAGGGATTTTTCAGAAGCTCTTTTCCTTTCTTCCTAAAGCACCTGTACACCCCCTGGAGGATTCTGCTCTGGAACTCCCTCCCTACAGCAACATGGGAGGCTGCAACAAGAAGGGAGAATCCCCCCCTCCCCTTCCCCGCACACTTTTGCGTGAGCAGAGCTTGAGTAATAAGCTCCACTTGCACAAAAATTAGGAGAAGGATTTGGTGGCTTCTGTGCTTTGGAGAACTGTATGTCTCAGCTGTGGCTTTCCATGGGGGGCAGGTTTGTTGGAAGAATGGAACAAACTAAAAATCACTTCTAGGATTTCAGGGTCCTATGCGTTTAAAACATTACACACTGGAAATAGTGTCCCACAAAACAGCTATCTAAACTCAGGAATTTACAAAGAAGCTAGACATGGGCTGGGCTGCTGGCAAGGGAAAGCAAATAATTGTGGTACATCTCAGGATTCTTCAGCTGACAGATCTGACTCCCAGTACTGTGTGGTCAGAAGTCCATATTGTAACCATAACTCCATAAACAAGCATACTGAAATCTGGACATCTTTTGAAGGGGCAGCTCCTCTTTCCATAACGTCTTTCAGTTGCTATTCCATCTTAATAACAGTCAAATCTTAAGCAAGGCTGGAAAAGGGATTTTGTGTTCCTGGACATCCGTTTGAAATACGTAGCCATCCAGAATTTTTCCAGCCCTTCTCCAGCAGAAGTATTTAGGTTGATGTTGTTGGTGAGTCATCCCTGGTCACATGTTTCTCCATGCAGTCTTTTAATAGGCATATGTTGTGTTTTGCTTTCAGGAGTTATACCTAATATAGCTTACAGGTAATCTGAAATTCGGTACACGGATGCAGTTCTGCATTCCGACTCTTCTGTCCAGCCAATCCCATGCTATACAGGAGCGTTGCACAGCGACCCATCATCTGGTGACGGCTGTTAAGGCAGCTTTGGTTGTTGCAATAACCAGCACTCCACAGACTGGGTTCTACACAAGGATCGTGGATTTTCCCCATCCCCCCCCCCCCCCCGGGCAGGGCGCATTTGAGGGGGTGCATAGATTGTGAGGTAGAAGTGAGGAGGAGGGGGAAGTGGATGACATCACTCTCTTCTTTCAGTGGAGCTGTCATGACGGAAGAGGCAGGAAGGATGGTTTTGTCCTCCCCCTCTCCCACTGCAGCTTGCCCATCCACATGGCTGTTAACCCCTGCGGGTATCATGACCTTGGGAATAAACTGTTCTGGGGTTGGAAACTCTTCTTGGGAAAAGCGAAAAGGTCTGTGACTAGGGTTGCCAGGTCTGGGTTGGGAAGTACCTGGAGACTTTGGGGGTGGAGCCAGGAGAGAGCGGGGTTTGGGGAGGGGAGGGGCCTCAGCGTGGTACAGTGCCATAGAGTCCACCCTCCAGAGCAGCCATTTTCTCCAGGGGAGCTGATCTCTGTCACCTGGGGGTTAGTTGTAAAAGTGGGAGATCCCCAGGCCCCGCCTGGAGGCTGGCAACCCTATCTGTGACCATCAGCACCTTGTGCTGACAGATCACCGGGTACAGCCCAGAACCTGAAGACTTATCCCCTAATACGTTTTCAAAGCTAAAGAAATGTACTGAGCGAACAAGAAAGGGGATGACTTAATGGTGAGGAGAGACAGAGGCTTTATTCAATGCTGCCTCGTATAACAAATCCTGTGGAGTAAAACCATCCGTGCGTCATGGGTTTCCGGGACTGTTGTGAGCTTTGTAATTGGCTCTCAACTTTCTCTGTTGTTTCTTTCTTAGAAAACACCAAACATTCTTACTGATGATCGCTTCAAAGTCATGTTTGAGAACCCAGATTTCCAGGTGGACGAGAGGAGTGAAGAGTTCCGGCTGCTCAATCCTCTGGTTTCTAAAATAAGTGAGAAGAGAAAGAAGAAGCTGAAGATGCTAGAGGAGCAAGAAGCCTTAAGAGAGGTAAATCAATGGCATTTTTATGATTGCCTTCAATTCTCTAATAACTCTTTCAGATGGTATGAGCACAATCTGCTCACATCCTGAGTGGAGCGCCTGTCTGCTGGAGATTCCATGAACGCTCAATAGAGCTCCATTATCTTCTTCCACCTGCCTATGTGCAGGAGTACAAATGAGTTGTTGGCAGCATGGGAGGCCTGCACAATTCTTCCTGTGTATCCTCAGCTACTCCCCACTCTCTGCCTGAAAAAGTTTCATGTGCTTGTATCACTTTCATAGCCATAGCACAGGGCACAGACCATGACAAGGCCATGAGACACACGGCACAAACAGGCCAGAGGGTTGGTGGGGGTGTGGAGGGCACTTTTCCCACTGGGCAGCAGATTGAGCCTTAGACATTTTACAAGTCTGATGAAACTGCATGTAAGGGAGGTTGGTAAGCAACTTGTCCCATTTCATTTTGGGTTGGAAAAAGAGGCGGTGCTTGCATTAGCGGGGTTATCTGATTTATTTGTTTTGTGTTGTTTGTCTTGTAGTAATTCATGAGCCAGGAACTGTTCCCCCCCGCCGCCCCCGTGCGCAGTTTATTATTTACTTGCTGAAAATTATGGCCATCTTCCATTTGCTAAACACTTTGAAAAGTTACCCAGTTGTTTAACTTTATAAAATAAGTCTACTGTATAGACTAGAATTGTCTGGAAGGGGCTTTGGGGAGGGGTGGAGACTTTTTGGAAGTCACTTCCTGTTTACTGCTTTACCATAAAGATTTTTGATGTTGGTTCCTGTTCTGAAACAGGAAATGGATTCCTGTTGCTGTCCTCCCCCTCCCCCATTTTCCTCACCATCACTCCATTGGGTGAGGGTAAGGGACAGAGATGATCACCAGGAGGTCATTGGTCATCCGCCATTACTGCCTAACTGGCAGTAATTTCCCACCATTTAGTCAAAGAGGCAGGACTTAGATTCCAGTTTCCTGCTTCTGTTTCCTGCTCCTCAGTTCATTTCCTGCCAAGGAAAGGAGTCCAAGTTTTCTGAGCAGCTCTCTCAGATAGCCCCTCTCTTGATGGTTTTTCTTGTCCCTCCCCTCTCTCCATCTATTCTTTCCATATTTTTATTTCTCTGTAAAAAATAATAAAAAAAAATCTCCACTCTTCACTGCCCGCTGCAGCCCAAAGCAATAGCTAGTTCAGTAACCTTCCCCCCATCCTCTGTACCTCTCTGTGGGCTGCATTGTGACTACAAATGCCACAGAAATCATGGATAACGCTTTATGCTTTCCACTCAAAGAAGAGCACTTTTGTGTCCAGCTCATGTTTAGCTTAATATAGTCTGTCTATTGTTGTAGGTTCTATGACTTGTACCAAAATAATGTGCAGATATATTCAGTTCTTATTTTTTCCTCTTAAGTATCTCTTAGAAATATAGTCATCTTCAAATTGTGCATCTGTAGAGAATCACGTACTCTTTGGTAAATATTTCTCCTTTAAAAAAAAAAGGTTAATGGTCCTTAAAACTGTCTATTTTTGTCTTCAGGAAGAAGAGGAAGAACAAGAAGGAAAACCAAGTGATGCAGAAAGTTCTGAGACTTCAGATGATGAAAAAGGCTGGGTTGAAGAGGTCAGGAAACAGCGCAGACTTCTCCGCCAAGAGGAAAAAGTAAAAAGGCAGGAAAGGTTGAAGGAGGATCGGCAAACTGTCTTGAAGCCTCAGTTTTTTGAGATTAAAGCTGGAGAAGAATTCAGAAGTTTCAAGGACACGGCTCAAAGGCAAAAGTTAATGAAGTATGTTGAGTATCCCTATTTGGTTCACTTGGCTGCTTGAATATTTCCTTGAATGTGACAAAGGTGCTGATTCTACGTGATGGTTGTTTAGTCAACAACTTCTGGAATTGGCTGTTTCTACAGTCAGAGTATATGAAAGATATTTATACCCTGCTTTTCTCTTCAATGTTCTCCTCTCATCCATCTTACACTCAGAGTGCCCAAACTCCTGTAACGTAGATTAGGCTGAGAGTGAGTAACTGGCCCAAGGTCACCAAGCAGCCTTCCAAGGCAGAGGGAACCCGAGTCTCCTAGATCCTTGTCCAACACTAACCACTCCAGCAGGGCTTGAGAATTGCTTTTAAACTCATCTACAAATCTGAGCAAACAGAGCAGTCAGTCAGAGTCTGTCTGCAGCAGTAGAAAAGAGTAAGGGTCCAATACCACCTTAAAGACTAACAAAATCATGAGTCACTGGTCACTTCTTCTGTCTGAAGACACGAGCAATGACTCACGAAAGCTCATACCCTGCCACAAATTTTGTTAGTCTTTAAGGTGCTACTGGGCCCTTACTCTTTTCTAGAGCACAGAGAGTTATTAAGATTTGTCATTGCTGAGACTATTTGAAATCAGTATGTTTTGAGGTTACCCATTTTTCCATCCTGTTTCGGCCTATCCCAGTTCCTGAACATGCCCTGCTTGGGAGCTTCCTAAGAGGTGTTCGGCTGACTGTTGCTGAAGACAGAATGCTGGACCTTCAGCCTGTTCCAGGAAGGCTATATTTATTTGCTAGATTTTTATTCCACCCTTCCTACAAGAAGTTCACATCAGTGTACGTTATCCTCCCCATCTCCATTTTATCCTCACAACAACCCTGTGAGGTATACTGGGCTGAGAGAGACTGGCCCAAGATTGCCCAGTAAGCCTCCATAGCAGAGCGGTGATTTGAACCTGGGTCTCCCAGACCAGCTGTATGTATGTTGTCTGACTAATCAGCCCCTGTCCGGGGTTTCAGGTAATCAGTTGGAGTGAACTGAAACCTGATACGTAGAAAGCTGCAGTGTTTCTCATTGATCATAGGCTGTTTTCTTCTGCAAAAGCATCTAAATATTCCTAGTTTGCTTATAGTGTTTTCATGTGAGGTAGAAAAAACAAACAGATCTTTCAGTCAGAGTACACGCAGCACACAGAGGAGAAACTGTTGAGAATATGCTGTGAGATCAAAGATCTGATACCTTGACCACTGTGGTACAAACTAGGGAGCATTGATATTGCTGATTGGTGCTCGTTGTATGATCGTAAATACAACACTCATAGATAGTAGATACTGCCAAAGTTATATCCTTTGGTTGCCTGGTGCAAGTCAAACCTTAATTTGCCCCATAGTACTTTTGTCATAAAGAAACCAGCCGCATAGTGCTTTTATTTGGTGAAAATAGCAATCGTGGCTGAGACTCAGAGAAGTCTGTGCACATGCGTTAACACCCTTTCATGTGCACATGTGCAAAGGGTAGCTGATTTTTTTCCTTCCAGTGGCTGCTCCTTGCACTTTACAGGGTTCCACACCGGAAGGTCCCACAACTTTCAAAAGAATTTAAAAGAATCAGATACACAATCAAGCCAAAGTGAAGTGCTTTGATTGTAATGGGAGTGTTAACTTCATTAATTCTTTCTCAGAAATGGGTAATCTCCCCCTGTCTCTCAGTGAAAGCAAAGGTGCTCTAAAGTACTTCACTTTGCCCTCTTTTTGAAAGACGTTTTCAGCAAAAGAAAACAAAAGCTTCCTACTCCACATGCAAATTGCATGGAGTGTGGTGTACCATCTGGGGCCTGCTTATCTTCTTCTTTTTGACGTTGCAGATGTAAGGGGAACTTCCTGCAGCCAACACGTCTTAACTGTCTAATGTCTCCCCAGACCATTTAATGGCTAGACAGTTTTTTACGGTGGCATTTGGAGCAAAAAGGTTTATAATAGCTCTTGCATAAAACTGGGTGTTCCTTTGTTGTATTCCTGACTCACCCTTGCTTGAAGCTGAATTTCTAAGTCATCAGTGTCTTTAGTCTTAACTCTTGAGTGATTGATGCTTGTCGCTCATTGGGGAAGTTCTAAGCCTTGATACAGCTTCTTTTGTCTTCTTCTTCTCTATTTTTTGTCACAGAATTTTGCAGTTGCAAAAAGTTAACATTGGTGCTGGCTTGAGATCAACCTAATCCATAAAATAAAATGAAAACTTCAGCCACTTCAGGTTTTTTTACTGTTTGGCTGAACTTGCCAAGACTTCAGCTTGACTGAGTTGTTAGAAGTACTGCCCATCTCCCTAATGGGGCCTAATGCGGCTACAACGTTAAGTGTGCGGACTCTAATCTGGGAGAACCGGGTTTGATTCCCCATTCCTCCACTTGGGCAAGCCATAGTTCTGACAAGAGCTGTCCTTGAAAGGGCAGTTTCAGTCAGAGCTCTCTCAGCCCCACCTACCTCACAGGGTGTCTGTTGTGGGGAGGGGAAGAGAAAGGAGTTTGTAAGCTGCTCTGAGACTCCCGAGTGAAGGGCGGGGTATAAATCCAATCTCCTCCTCCTCCGTCTTGCAACAACAACCCTGTGAGGTAGGGTAGGCTGAGAGAGGTTGATGAGCCCAAGCTCACCCATTGAGTTTTTATGACCCAGGGCGGGGCGGGGGGATTTGAACCTGGGTCATCTAGATCCTTGCTTGACTCTCTAACCACTAAATCATGCTAGCTTGAGAAGGAGTATTGAAATGTAAGTGTTTTAAAGGAAAATTCACATTATATCTAATGTGAATTTAGAGAGTCTTTCCTTAAATATGCACAAGTGGATTGTTCAAAAGCAGAAAGACTCAATTTTTTTTTCAGTAGGAAAAAAATGCTTGAGAGCCACAGATACACTGAAATTATATCTTACAACATACTTGTTCCCCAAGTAGGTCACCCATGAATGAAAATGTATTTGTTTAACTCCATCTCTTTCTTCTGGGAAAGGGAAATTTTCTGGGAATGACATTCAAAATTATGCAGGATTTGGGAACTGACTGCTTGCATAGTCCCAGCTACTTAGCTCTTAATGATGTGTGGAATTCCCTGTTGAAATTGCTTTCTGCACTTACTGCTAAGTAGGGAGGCTATAGTGGGAGACCTCCCAGCGTCCTGCTTCATTGTCCGCTTGTGCTTCAGGCACCAGCAGGAGAAGGAGGGGGGTGGAGTAAAAACTGGAAGTGACCCTGTTAGGGTTGCCAAGTTGAAATTTCTCCTTACTGGAAGACTCCTGAGCCGCTGCTGGAGCGCACGTGCACGTCACCCGAAAGTGACGTGACAACGCCGGGCACGCTGGGGGCGGGGCCACGACCATCCGAGGGAAAACCATAGAGTTTTCCCTCGGATGACCGTGGCCTCGCCCCCAGCG